TAAAGATGCTAGTTATATGTTTGTATGTTTTAGATTTGGGTATTCATTCTGCTGTTACTTGGTAAAAAACATCAACAGATGCCTCACCAGTTTCTACTGTGTCTTGTTCCATCACAGGTATGTATAATCTATTTATATATTTCTTGACATGTAACTTAGAATGCTTCATAAAACAAAGAACTAGGCGGATTTGAATGATATTTTGTTATAAACGCCTATTAAATGATCTAATTGGTATGTTTATTAAATGATCTAATTGGTATGTTTATTAAATGATCTAATTGGTATGTTTATTAAATGATCTAATTGGTATGTTTATTAAATGATCTAATTGGTATGTTTATTAAATGATCTAATTGGTATGTTATATACTATAAAATATGTCAAAATTTTCAAATTGGTTTATACATTTTTCAACCAGTTTTGATTTTCAAGTTAAAGTTCCATACTCGTCATTATGAAATGGTCCAGCCAAAATGTCTCTCGAATGTTAAAGGGACTCCACTGAGGTTTAAAAGCCTAAAAACATAACATTTGAATTTCTTACATAAATGAGCTAGGGCACTTTAAACAGAAATATATGCAAAGATGGTTAAGAAATATACTATGAAATAAATTGAAAATCGTATTTTAATGATTTCTTAGCCCGATTTGAGTGAAGAGCAGTGAAAAGCGTTTAAACGCTTTTCATTTTGGGTCATTTGTTTACAATCTGAATAATTATTGTGGTAAAACGAATTGCGCGAATGATCTGAAATTTTGCACAAAGATTATTGGTCTAAACCTACATCAAATGGTACATTTATCTGGAAAAAATATTTTCAGTCCCATCATGTCAAAATACCTCAGTAGAGTCCCTTTAAGATCTTTTTTGCATGAATTGTCTGAACAATCACTGTTTTCTTCACTTATTTTCGATTGATGATAAGATACATGACAAATCCTTTATTTATATATAGCAGGTTAATGGTTGCTTTAGATGAGATCAATTTATGTCACTTCCGTTTAAGCAAAATGTCTCTGGAGTATTTATTTTAACATACTTTGTAGGTTCTTGTTTGCATTGGCATGATTATGTTCAAATACAGCACGGAAGTCACGTGGATGCAGTATGCACAGTTCGTGGTATCAATATTCGGAGACTTTACAAGCAGATGTTTCACAGTGGTACTATCATGTGTGATATACTTACTTCATAGAAAGTCACTAGACTTCGTTGTTCGAGTCAGAAAATGGTTGATCATATCGGCTGTTGGGTGTGTAATCTTTTGAATTTTGGTATCTACCTGTAAATAAGCATAGTAGTTTTATATGCTCGAAAACATTTCGGCGTATATTGTTATGTACCTGTTCGTCCGTCCGTTCACAGTTTTCTGGTCCGGTCTGTATTTTTGAACTAGTAACCACTTGGCAGAACTGTTAAACATTTTATGATAAATGTGCAGAGCGTAGCTTTGACCTTCCTCAGGTCTAGGCCAAGGTCACACTTTGTCATTTTGCAAAAAGTTCAAGTTTTCGTGTCCGTTCTGTATCTTTTGAACAGATAGAAATAAATATTACATATAATGAGACCATGTGCAGAACATTGGTTTGGGCTTCTTGAAATCAAATTTGACAACGTCTCGGAGATAACATAATTTAAATAGACTTATATAGGGTAACACATTTAGGTTTCACTTTTTGAAACTACAATGTCTACAGCTTAGCTATTTAGCATATAGCATTGTCCTATTGACCTTAACCAAACTGACTCATGTTTTTAGATGTAGGGCCACTTAATTCATAAACTTATGTAGGAAATACACATTTAAGTATTTGTGTCTACAAAATTTATATTAATTATGACCCTAATATAGCATTAACTAGTAGACCAGTATAAAAGTTTTATGAATCATGCACTTACGATAAAAATTCCTCCACGGGGGAGATCATATTGTATCATAAGGATAATGTATATTAAAGAATTTTCAGACAAGTTTCTTGATTGGGTAATTACCCTAATTGACAGAGTAATTTGATTTTACGAATATTGCCCTGTCTTTACGGTGCTCAAGTTAATCCCAACATAAGATTGTTTCATTATTTTTTACTGCCTGACCTGGACAAACCTAGAAAGGAGTTGCTATGAAACTTTAGCTAACCTTTTACATTCGTAATCTTATAGTAAGTAAATTTGTTTTTGTGTATACCATATCTTGCGTTAAGAGTAATAATGGCATAGTTTTTTTTCAAACTGAATAGTACAAATCATCAAACAAGTTGATAAAATGTGGAATATAAAAACTTGAAGAATATGTTTTATATAAATTGAAATATTGACATAAGTATTTTAATAATTTCAGATTTCCTGTTATATGTATAGGTTTTCTGATGGCGTTAAATTGGGACTGTATAGACTATAAGCACGAGAATGCGTTCCATTATGGCGCAACTAAGGTATGTCATGTCTTTATAATATTTTCCATTTATGTTTTTTGTTTAAGTCATATCGAGTTCATATGGCATCTTCCCGAGAATACCTCATTATGGTGGCTGATTAGTGCCATGTCGTATTTTCTCTTTGCGGGGCGCCAAGCGAAAACACGAATATGCGACAAAGTGACTAGCGGTGATACTCGATATTACGACAAAGTCACCACTTTACACCCTGCGGAGCAAAAATACGACAAATGTTGAATTTGTCGTATTTTGGTGTTTTCGTCCGTCACTCAGCGGAGCGACAATTCGACATGCAGAAATTCATTTTATGACAGTCGTTCTGCTTCAATACTCAGCAAATGTAGTCGATATTTAGTTTCAGAGAACTATTTTTTTTTCACGGTTGTACCGTTTCTGTGTTCGTGAATATATATTTTTTTTATAAATAGGCCTAAAAGAGTAGCATATAGCAGAAAGTAGTTTAGAACTAATCAAATCACTCTTTGATTTTTTTTAGGAATGCAAATTCTTATGTACATCTTCTTATCTTAAAATACACCATTTTTTCAACTTTAAATTCGGAGCTTTATTCTTTGTTTTATTTTATAACAACAAGGCGGATGCATTATCAGTGGTGGTCCTAGCATTCTGTTCTGTTCTAAATATAACATTTTTGGTGTTACATCAACGAATACTTCGTCGTTCAAGTCATGTGAAACAAGCCAATGATGTGTTAGATGCTATTTCCTTCACTACTGCGAATGAAGATGTAAAATTTAAAACAATGGCACACAGCGGAAGTAGAACAAATTTGATATTAACCGACTCTCTCAGGACCCACGATTCTAGGACATATTCTAATACAAATAATTCAATAAATTATGGAAGCAACAACGATGATTATACAGGTAAAGTATATTCTCGGAAATTAAATACATGCTTAATCAGTTAATTGATTGCAGCATTTTATAGCATGAGTTTAATCTACATTGTTTTATATGCACGAATCAGAACGTAGTGAAATGAAAAAAAAACTGCATGATTTATGTTACTCTTCCGTGGACAAGTGGACGTTGACGGCACTGACACAATGTCAACCATATTGACCTAACGTTGAATGTTTTGACAGCACGTCAGCCGCATTGACCTTATATTGACCTTACGACGAACGTATTGGCCTGACATAAAAACATTTACCTGCCACTGACTGCATCGGCCGGATGCCGACCGGCATTTACCTACTGACTCTATATTGACTGATTGGACATGACGTGACCCGCACTTACCTGACATTTACTGCACTGACCTAACATTTACTGCACTGACCTGACACTAAATTTACTACATTGTCCTGACATGTACTATATTGACCTAACATTTACCGCGTTGACCTGACATTTACCGCGTTGAACTGACATTTACGGCATTGACGTGACATTTACGTCACTGACCTGACATTTACTGCTTTGACAACTGACTAGCGGAGAGAATTGTAAGAAAAAAAGCAAACATTTTGATGTGTAAGACCAGATGAATTATTTATAGAAGGTGTTATATTGCAGTTTACTGGGACGCTGATGATAAAGCTGATGCTATAGATGTAATGGCTGATAAATCTGAGTATGATAAGAGCACCTTGCAAAGTTCAAGGAAGAGCAGGTCTCCGGCTTGTCGGGGCGTGAAAAACATACAAAGTGCTGGGAATGATATTCAAAACGTTTCAGAGGTCATATATTGTAATTCTATGTGTACATACAAATTGCTGTTTGTTTTCTTAAATAGTTCTCGCTTTCATTTTTATTCTATTTGATTGTATAATTATTATGATATACATGTATTCAGGAACTCATTGAGTAATAATTGAGTTAGATATTATTGTCATACTGACGATCTGTTATTTACGGAAGAGCATTAGTGCCAGGTGTATATTTTTTATTAACTCGAAATTTCGAGTTACTAACTCGAAATTTCGACTTACTAACTCGAAATTTCGACTTACTTAACTCGAAATTTCGACTTACTAACTCGAAATTTCGACTTACTAACTCGAAATTTCGAGTTACTTATCTCGAAATTTCGACTTACTTACTCGAAATTTCGACTTACTAACTCGAAATTTCGACTAAGTAACTCGAAATTTCGACTTACTAACTCGAAATTTCGACTTACTTATCTCGAAATTTCGACTTACTAACTCGAAATTTCGTCTTACTAACTCGAAATTTCGACTTATTAACATTACAAGAATGGACAAAGTTATTAGTTAGATGGTATAAGATACAGTAGGCAGTGCCTTTGAACGATTCCAGAGATGGAGAAACGGGTGCCTGGACAAAAACTATTGAACTTTAACTTAAACTAAGTAATGGCATGTACACACCCGACCTAAAAAATACAAGGCTTCCTTTAATTTGTACGTTCAGGCGTTCTTCAGACGTTGTATTGTATCCCATCTGTTCGAACATATCTTTTCACTAATCATATTCTTCTCATCCCTGTAAATAAACCGATCCTATACTTCACGTGTGGGACATCTGAGGAAAGTATCGCGGCGTGGCCAAAATAGGGCGTGCTAAGGCCTTTGCCAAAATTGTTGGACTGACTATATTTCTTGTAAAATCGGATGCTTTTATATTATTCCCAACATATATATGACGACAAGTATCACTTTTATCAACTTTTATCAACACAATATGAATCAGTATCAAGTATTAGTAAATAATGAATAAATAAATGTTACAAAAACATTATTAGTATAAAGAAACGTGACAGACTTACTGGCGTATACACACCATTTAAAACTTATTTAACACATGATATTGCACAGTTTACAATAGGGTGGGTTTTGGACTTGTTGTTTCTCCACATGATGGTTGTATGTGTGCTTAAGAAAAAGAAACACCCGGTTAACACGGAAATGTGGAAAGTGTGATTTTACAACCCCCCCCCCCTCCACAAAAAAGCGAAGGATATGTTCAGTATGTGTGCAACAGCTACACACGAAAGAAAGTATCTTGAATTCAATCCTTGCTTTCACCGGCAACCAATGAATGTCGCGCAATGTAAGTCGAAATTTCGAGTTAGTAACTCGAAATTTCGAGATAAGTAAGTCGAAATTTCGAGTTAGTAAGTCGAAATTTCGAGTAAGTAAGTCGAAATTTCGAGTTAGTAACTCGAAATTTCGAGATAAGTAACTCGAAATTTCGAGTTAGTAACTCGAAATTTCGAGTTAGTAAGTCGAAATTTCGAGTTAGTAAGTCGAAATTTCGAGATAAGTAAGTCGAAATTTCGAGTTAGTAACTCGAAATTTCGAGTTAATAAAAAACATACACCTGGCACTAATGCTCTTCCGTAGTTATTTAATGCTTTTCTATCAAAAGATTATATAATTGTGATATAATGTCTCAGCAAAAAATGAATTTTTGATTCTTCAGAAAGGGCAAACATGAATTTGTAGAGAAAAGTTATATACTTGATACCTGAAAAAAGGAGCGCTAAATGTAACTTTATCTGCCATGAACTTGTTGTCAAAAATAAACAGATGAAAAACATGGTTCCGTTAATTGGCCAATGAGGAATTAAATAAAAAAACTTATAAGGAATAAAAGTAAAAGTATTTTTGAGGCCTTTAACTGGTGTTCTGTCTATAATATACATGGTCATGGTTTGATTATACATTGTATATCTTATTTTACTTCATTAGGAAAATAACATTCAATTTTTCAAATCAGTTGTAGTCCGTTATACCATTTTTATGTATTTTTCTTTATCTTTTTACTTTATTTCTAAATACAGATATGTGAAGGAGGCTCTTCAAAAAATGACAAAATGAAAGGTCGTGTTAACCAGACGCCATATGGAAAATTTCTCGTGTTACTGATATTTTCGCAAATTGCAATGTTTGTGGTATGTAGACTTCTTTATTCTTTCCTCTTTTTGTACTTAAATTACTTATTGACACACGTTATATCTAAAAAAATTACACATTAACAATAAATAGATCGTACAGTTTTTGACATAACGTATTATATTTATGCTAAAGTATATGACAATAAGGGTGCAGAAATAACCGAAAATTAGTAGTAAATTAAACATAATGTTTTTTTCTTTTAAAAGATTAACAATTTATGCATTTTCAGAGTTTATTTCTCTGCACATGGAGATTGTTCAATGATTCAAAATCCGGTATTTACATTGAGACAGAGTTCCTAGGTATCTTTCTTAACTATGGACAGGTATAATTTATTACAAGTGGACTTGCACATATTTCTTCCAACAAAAAATTGATGAGCGAATCTTACCTCTGACTTTCACTCAAGCCCCACACTTTAAAGGGATACTCAGGCAAATTAGTGACAAAAATATTAAAATGATCTTGTGTACTCAAATCCCGCTAAAATGACATTTTTTAAAGTCCAGGCATGAATTTCTATATCAATTCTACATATTTTTGGTTTTAAGCGTAAATACATCTATATATGTTGAACGTAATTTTGACGACGACAGAATCACGAGTAGCTTTAAAACAAGTAATGTGACTTGAACAAACACTGAAAGTTACAACTTTAGATATTTTCGATATTGTATGATCGGGAAAAGTCAAAGTCAGTCATTTGACACGTTTTCAAGGTTCACTATAACAACTATTGTGAAATCTTAACGCTCTAACCTAACCCACGTGGGTCAAGTTAGGAAACCACCATTATATTCTTTACAAGGTGAAAAGTTTTGTTTTATGACTGCCTAATGTATTCATTTTGAGGACAAAATAATGAATGAAAAATTTAAAACGAAGACATGAGAATTTTGCCTGTGTCTCCCTTTAAAACTAAATAAACTTCATTGTCGTAAATCTCACTCAATCCATCACGTATTTACACAAAAGCCTTTTCTATTTACCGGAAATCAAGATGATAACAAACGGCTCAAGGCCGAAAAAAAAGAAACAAGGCGTATATCCTCAGAGAACTTTAACGCTTGCTTCTTGAATATTTCCAAAGAAAATTTCATATTAAATAATGATATATTTATATTTTTCACCTTTAATGAAAGAAGTAAATGTAATTAGATAGTTGTGTAAAAGTAACGTGAAAAGCCGGATAAGAATTTTCATAATTTGTACATATTTTTTCTGCCTATACTAAAAATACACTGTAAAATATATATACCTTTCCTTGGTATGTGTTTGATAATTCAATTTTTTTTTCCAGAACTTTGTTCTGTTTGCACTTTTCGGATTCGACGTCCAGGTGATAATTCAACGATTTATAAAAAGGTAATGCCTTTTAAAGATATATGTATATGTCTTAATTAAGAAAATAATACCTAATATGAGCCGCGCCATGACAAAACCAACATAGGGCGTTTGTGACCAGCATGGATCCAGACCAGCCTGCCCAACCGCGCAGTCTGATCAGGATCCATGCTGTTCGCTATCACTTTCTCTACTTGTTGTAGGGTTTGTAAGCGAACAGCAGAAATCCTGATCAGACTGCGCGGTCTGGATCCATGCTGGTCGCACACGCATTACGTTGGTTTTGTCGTGACGCGGCTCAAATATAAGTTTTCGATACAGTTTAAAAGTCCGGTTGTTGCATCTATTACTATAACATGAGAAGCTCATCCTAAAATTAGACAGGCGTAAAGTCTTCCTAGACTTTGTTATTGTGTTCAAACCTTATCCTTACCTATTATCCTTTTGACGGTGTCAAAGGTAAATGATTAATGTTGTTTATAAGAATATTTTTCACTTTGAGTAAAGTCCTTCTCAGTTTAAGCTCAAATTTGAAGTGCACAATGAAGCACTTTGACAAATGAATTTAAGCACTGATATATATATGGTATGTTTTATAACAAATAAGGTTTTTTTGCTATTTTGATATGCCGTAATCTGGTATGAGATACCTGCCTTTGTTCATGCGCTCCACCAAAACTACTGGCAAATAATAAACACTTTTTAGGTACCTTTATACTACTACATTTGTATGCGTTATGATGCTTTTGTCTTAGATAATTATTGAACTAATTACGAAAAATGTACTCTTGAACTTTATTTTAGATGGCGTAAACTGGTATACAATGTAGAAAATGTTCATATTGGTCCAGCAGATTTAACGGAGGAGGAAAAACATCTTTGTGACCAGTTTGTCAAATATCATCTGGACAGGTGTACGAAAGATATTGTTTCAAACAGAAAGTAAGAATGTCATAAGTATAGTAATTATAAAGATATTAAATGAGCCGCGTCACGAAAAACCAACGTAATGCGTTTGCGACCAGCATGGATCCAGACCAGATCCAGATCAGGATCCATGCTGTTCGCTTACAAACCCTATAACAAGTAGAGAAACTGATAGCAAACAGCATGGATCCTGACCAGACTGCGCGGATGCGCAGGCTGGTCTGGATCCATGCTGGTCGCAAACGCACCATGTTGGTTTTGTCGTGACGCGGCTCAGATTGACTTGCCTATCTGTATATATTGAGAAAACCATTCAATAGTTTTGTGGAAAATTTCAAATTATGTAGTAACTTAACCGGTAAAGTACATACGTTGATCTTGGTCTGCACTGGTCACGTGGGTTTTATTGGTTGCTGCTAGCTGGCAAAGCGTTTACCAATGTAGTTCAAGTACTTGACTTGTCAGAAAAAAACAACAAACAAATACGAGGGACGGTCAGAAAATATGCTCCTCTCTTTCCACGCGCAGCTATATACACACATTATATATTGGTGAAAACTACATTCATTCACCAATAACGTGGTCAGTTTATTTTTGATGATAGTTGTGTATACACAGTATTTGCACTCTGATAAATGATAGGTGTTTCGTCTATCATGGACTCTTTGTTAGAGGAACAACGCTGTGTAATACAGTTTCTGGTTGCAGAAGGTGAAAAGCCCTGCCACCTCTTTCAGAGGCTTAAAAAAGATTTTTTGATAAATGTGTATCACGTTCAACCTTCTACAACTGGGATTCTCAGTTTCGTGAAGGCAGAACAAGTGTTTCCCAGCAAACATTTTATATCGGTCCAATATCAGCCCGATATCAGTTGTTATGTCGGCCCGATATCGATTTCTTATATCGGACAGATGTCGGATGTGCAACCCGGCTACAAGTCGGGCCGATATCGGCTGTATATCGTTAGATCGATTTGAAACCGGTGTCATACCGACATAAATTAACCTTTAATTTTTCTTCTAATAAAACATTTTACTTTGATTTTTTCATTCCAATTAACAAAAAACACAATTGAGCTTAAATATAAGCTTTTTATTTTCATTTGGCAAATATACATGTATATCATAGAATCAATATTTTTTTTTTAACAAATGTATGTTAATTGTGTACAGCAGTTAACATCACAGTCAAAAGAGAATTTAACAGGATTGGAAAAAATATATTTGTATTTTTAAAGGACAATGGTACTGTAAACTAGCTAGTATTTGTTGCTTTATCAAAATTAAATTGTTTATCGCAGACTGCAAATAAAACCCAATAACATAACAGCAAACAATCCATTTTTCATAGTTTTGTTATAAATATTTGAGAAGTATGTGAGAAAAAGTGCACAACACCCCCCCCCCCCCAAAAAAAAAATGGACTTTGAAAATATTTGAGGTATTACAAAAAACTTTAACGTAAATTCTAAGTCGAAAAAGGGGCATAAATCTGTAAAAATGCTTGATAAAGTTTCAAAGCCATATGTCAATGGACTTTGAAAATATTTTAACTATTACAAAAACTTGAACGTAAATTCTAAGTCGAAAAAGGGGCATAATTCTGTCAAAATGCTTGATAGAGTTACCTCCTCCTGTCTACAGGTTGGGGTCATGATGGTGAACAAGTGTGCAAAGTTTCAAAGCCATATGTCAATGGACTTTGAAAATATTTGAACTATTACAAAAACTTTAACATAAGTGGTTACGCCGAAACGGACCCGACGCTCGGGTGACTACAATAGCTCTACTTACTCTTATCGAATAGTCGAGCTAAAAAAGATATAAAAGACTAGTAATAATTCAATTTAGTTCTGCTTCCTTGGTAAAACATTGTAAACAAACAAATTAAAAATGCCAATAATAAAACTCAATATGTTCAAAAGCTATGATTTAAATTCCATTTAAAAACTGAGAATGAATCTACAACATTGCATTTGTATTGGTGTTTTTTTTTCTCTATACTTCAGCTATTATGCAATAATAGAAAAAAATAAATAAAAAATATCAGCAATTATGCAGAATTATTAAAGAAAATAAATGCAAGAATAAAACAATGTAAAAAACAATGCAAAAAATAAAGACTAGACTTGACTATACATTTGGCAAGGCATGGTAATAAAATGGATTTATAATATTTTTACAAAGCATAAAACAAAAAACAACCTATAATAACGAATCAAAAACAATAATTGAATTATAGATTCACAAATCGCAGGATTTAGTATTATAATTGTAAAAATTATTTGATTATCATGAAGCTATGACCATAATCTCAATATTTGATATGTGCGATTGAAATACTGAATGAGTAAAAACAATAACAATATGTACATCTTATGTAAATCTAACACTCCTTGAGATTTTGTTTCTATAACAAAGAAGGATTTTAACGGCTTAAACTTCCAATAAGCACTGATTATGGACTACACAAATATGCCGCTGTTTTTTGTTCTCCCTCAATAAAATAGTTTTCAAATTCTTTTTACAGCAAAAATAATAACGCACTTTTTCTGATGTTTTCAGTTCACTTTTTTTCTTCTTTTCATATGATGCTAAAGTAACATCTCACATTCACCGACCAACAGATTGATATAAGTTTTATAAGACAAATTGACGCAAACTCGTAAGCACCATAAAAACGTCATCCCAAGTATGCAGCTTGTTCATACAAGTGCCAGAATGGTGTCACTTTAAACTGGTCAGGGGCTGAAGAATCATTAATCCAGCAACGATGTAAACACAATATATATAATCCTGCCTGACACACAAGCTTAAACTGATTTTAAATAGCCGATGAACAACACAGAAACCGATATTGTTTCTTAAATATATCTCAATAATGTTTAGTTTAACTATATCACTATTTATGTATGATTTATTCTTCTTAGGCTATATGTTCTTGAACTATTAGGCTAGAATGACATTACATTACTTCCAAATTAAAAGAGCCATCTTTTTTCTTTCAATTTCGCTATAAATATATTTAAAAGTTCTATTCAGTGGGTGTTTCTGGGACACCTTCATTGGTTTTTTGTCTTCTTTTACGGCCTCCGTCTCTGTCACATGCACTTCGAAACCATTCTCTACAATCTAATTCGACTTCAGCTGCTGTACATTTTTTACATTTCATGACTGCTTCTGTAAGTATAATTAAAAAAGAAAATAAGATCTACCTACTTATTTGTTCTGGCAGAACTTTATAGACACATGTAGTGGTAGACTATATATATACTCCTCAAATTTTTGTGATATACTTAATTAAAATATTAACTTCTCCATACATTCAAGCAGTGTTCGCCTTTACTGAGTAAACATATCAATTTACTCGCTAAAATTGCCAGGGAGGAAAGAAAAAAAGGGCTGTTGAGTCCCTGGGACGAAACACTTTTTCCCCGATAATTGGTCAATTCTCTCTTAAGTTTTTTTGCTCTGCTTGAAAATGATTTTCTATTCACTTTAAATAAATTGTATTATAAGAACTTGACTTTCACCTCATTTTCATTTGTTCCTTTCTCATTAGCAATGCAGATTTATATCCCAAACGTAGACTAGGAGCAAGTGCTAGGCCTCGTTTTGGGCCAACCTATCAATGGTATCCGCGAACATCAACAGTCACAAATTTGATTGTATTATGAAGTTATGCAAACATTGACATTTTTGTAATTGAGGACTCGTTCGATTTGAATTGGGACGTAACAGATCTATTAGCACTGAGTCCCAGGTACTCAGTAAAGTTAGGGAAAATCGCTAACACTGTCTAAACTGAATATTATGCTTTTATCAATTAACACATCAAGTAAAGGTATACATCATAAAAAATATTAACTTTATCCAAAATTTATATAATATTCTAACACAACCCGCATTTTCCTCTATTAAACACAGAAGGACCTGAAGTGTGTTATTATGCAATAAAATCACTGTATTTAAACATGTGACGAAACCATTTACAGATATGTGACATTAGCATTTAAAAATGCGAGGCGCTGAAAATGAGTATGGAAACAAATCAGACGCAGTGTACCTTAATACTAGGTACGGCAGTATTTATCTGTTGTTGTTAGAATCGAAATAATATATCCAAAAAAGTGATTTCACTGCATTATAAAATCACTATGATATTCGAATACAATCATTATATCAATCAGGCTACTCCCTCCTGATATAATTCCTCGCATTTGAACTCCAAACATTAAATTAAGCAATAAAATCACAGTTTGGGATATATTATTTTTTTATAAAATATCCTTTTTCTATGCAGAGGTGAGAACATAGTGATATATTTTCTTCTTTTTAATCAAATATCTAAGTCAAATATGCAGGTTTCTTACTGTCTGTAACAATTATGTGTTTGGTTATCCATAAAATTTTAAATGAAAATAAAAAATTACTTTGCACTGCCTTGGCCAGCTTCAGTTTCCCAAACGCTCTCTTCCCTTTCTTGCCAAACCAGTTGAACTGAAGTGCCAACTGATTTGACATGCAGTGTTTCATGACTCTTTTTGACATATCGCTTCTTGTGATACCTCCTTGCAGTGTCAGGTATGTGACCTGAAATATATGATTTTTGTTCTAAAAACATTTCTAACGTTTCAAAAAGCATTTGACACATAATTCACAGGAGTGTAATAAGGCCATTCAGAGCAACAGATAAGCTTTAAAAGTGAATTGGGTATTTCTCCATCATTTCCTTTGGAATTGGGTATCGACTCCATTTAATTGGGTATTCCAAAACTCGATACCCATGATTTCAAGATCAATTGGGTATTCAATTATGAAGATATGAATTTTATGGTTTCAATATCAATAAAATTTAAACTGTTTTAAAAAGAAAATAGGATTAAAAATTCACCAGAAATTTTCACAATTGTTTTATTTTTTATATAAAATGCTCATGTTATATTTCGTAATATTTTTAACAAGTTTGTTTTTCTGACTAATTTTTAATTTACGAATGTTTTGTTAAAAATCATTTTCCCTTTTGTACGACGCCATATTGCTTTCAAAGCATCTATTGATACAGCTGGGACCTACTTATTGACGGTCTCCGCAAAATCAACGGTCTCTGCCGGTCTATAAAGACCGTCGACCCGAGTAGACAAATCGCCTTTCTCGTGCTTTATTGATATGGCTTAGTCGGTCTTTGGAGAACGGGGACAGTCGAAGACCGGAGATCGTTGATAAGTTAGCATTGATTCGGGAATATTCGGATAGCATGCATATCAATATAATTTGTCCAAAAACTACGAGCGTACGACAGATTAATTTTGCGGTGATGAAAATGACAATACGCACGGGTTTTTAAGACAATTGCATATTTTATTTTTCTTAATGGGTTTTGATACGCATTCTTAAAAAATCAATTGCATATTTTATAAAATTAATTGCGTAAATACGCAAATACGCACCTTATCTGTTGCTCTGCCATTTATTTCATGCTTTTCCAGTGTTTCACTGTAATAGATAATATTTTGATAAACCACTACTGAAATTTATAATATATCATTTTCACTGTAGCCGGACTATATCTGAATGCAGATGAAAAGAATATAACTAAATGGAATAACAGGCCCAAAAAAATGCCGTCATACGTAAATGTTCTTTCTTTAAGAAAAGAAAGTCGATGTCATCATTTATCATGTTAAAAGTGTAACAAAATTGGATTTAACAGGATTGTATTTCAAAATTCAGGGCTCTCGTTTGATAAAATTTGGGGCCGAATATCGGCCCCATTCCCCCACCAAAAAAGTGTTTTTTCCCCTAAAACCGAAAAAAAAATCCCCCTTGAAATCCCTGGAAATAAATATTTAACAGGCATAGAAAATGCCGATCAGCGAATATATTTTGCAAACGGCAACCGGAAATAGGTACGTATTCCGCGGACGGGCAAATCAGAAATTAGTATGTATTTCCATGACTGGCAACCAGAAATTAGTATGTATTCTTGGAACGGCTATCGAAAAATTAGTATGTATATATAAATAAAATGTTCCGGACAGTTTTTTAGCATTCCAACATGTTCGCACAATTTCAAGTCTTACCGAAAAAATAAAAAAATCCCCTTTAAATGAAAAATATTTTGAAAATCATGCAAAATTCCCCCTCTGCATGGACCCTGGCCCCAGTCTCAAAATGCTAACGAGAAGCCCTGAAATTGATGATGTGACAGGAGGAATGCGCGACGCAGACAGCAAATTCAGTAAAAAATATTTTTAAAATCACGAAAAAAGCATGAAATAAAAGAAAAAATTTATTTGTTTTACATATAAGATTGAAATATATTTCATTCGTGAACACCAGGTATTTTATTTTCATTTTCGTTGCAATGCAAAAGTCATTTGAAATTAATATTTTTCATCTGGTGTTCGCTCAGTGAAATATTTTTCAATCTTACATGCAAAAAAAACAAGATATTCTCTATTTAAGAAATACTATATTACACTAGTTATAAATATAATGTCTACATATTTACACTAGAGTAATAATATAAATGGTCTTTTGTGTTACAAACAAAAGCACACTAAATGACAGGCCAAAAACTTTAAGAACACTCAACCAGTATGACGGACAGGAAACTAGTGTGCAATATTTTAGTGACCATTAAAAAAAAGTTCAGCAAAAACACTTTTGTTTTCAAAAACAATAATAAATTCATTTCGTGCAAAGATAAAATTAACATATTTCTAACTAATGAAAATAAATTTACCAAGCCATTGAAACAACCAGGTTCTTGTAAACCTGTCTCAACCAACTCCAGCTCTTCAATGCTTGTAACTGGTAAATGAATATCATCAGGCAATTCAGTTGGTCCACCACCATCTTGACTTTCCAACTTTGACACGACACCAAATACCTGATGAACAGTGTCCAATATTTGTGTCTGTTGTCGAGTCATTTTTTCTAATAGGGTAAAAATGCGGATATCTCGTGCTAAAATACAAAAATATTATTTAATGAGAAACATAACTTTCAATATAATTAGATCTACTGAAGTAAAAAAAAAGGAATATTCTTTTTAATTAAATCATCCTGCAGTGTCCAGACCAAGTGAACACATCCTTAAATGAAGAGACATGGACAAACTGCTAAGGTCCTATACTGGTTTAAAAGAAATTATTACCAACCCAATTTAACGTGATCGCGAAATTGTATGACTATAAAATCAAAGCCCTCTTGTCCATATATTTTTTATTTATTTTTCAAAATTTCAATAGCACTCAACCAGTATATCCCAACGTCGGGTATTTTTGTGGGAGGGGTATTTTCGTGGTTTCACCGTTTTCCGGTATATATAAGTTTTGAGCACGCACATGGTTCCGGTCGCGTAATTTTTTAGAAGTTTGCATGTAATGTAAACACTGCCAAAGTTTTTTTTCCAAAAAGGAAGTTAGAAAGGTAAGTAGAAATAACATTAATGTAGATACAAAGATTTTTACCTGTTTTCCTAAATCGCAAAAGTTGACAATTTTCTAATCTGTCTTTAAAAAACACCAGAGTCCTAAAAATATTTGACAGTTCGGCTGCAATTTGACTATTCTCCCAAGCACAGGTCACGTGACTTTCATTGATGAAAAGTGGTCTCAACATAGTAATTTTTTTTGCCAAATGACTGATGGTACCTTATGCCAAAAAACCCGGAAGTGGTAAGTAAATTAATTTACATAACTATTCTGTTTGGTCACCTCTTCTACCTACAAGACAGGAACAAGTGCCCATATCTCACTTACAGGAAGTGTGGGAGATGTGATAAATGTCATAGATGGGTCCACTTGACATTTGCTCAGAAGTTAGAGTTTTTGAGACTTGGTGACACTTTCCTATGCCACAATTGTAAAAAAATAAATTATGTGAGACCTCCAAATGTAATAGTGACCTGTTCCTTTTCCCGCCGTTTTTGTTATTTAGGTTTTCTGACATTTTAATCATCTTGAAAACAATGATAATTGCTTGAAAAAGATTTAATGCAAAAAAAATATAGATTTTTTTCTTAAAAACTGTTTTTATCAGTAATCACATGTGACCCACGAAAATACCCCTCGGAGAAAAATGCTAGCTCTGCATTGGTACCGGAAGGTATGTACATTGTATTTTTATGTTAAAAGTAGGTCATCTGTTAAAAATTATTCTTTTGTGTACGTAAATGATTGGTTTATTTAAAATTTATTGCTTTTAATAAATTTTCTGAAAAATATCCGTTACGTCAGTAGTATGGAAATGATAGCGAAGCGTTCCCCTGAGCCTGAGCAGGATCGGGATCGGGGATTAGTTACGTAATCGATTAAGGATTAGTTACGTAATACAATAACAATACGATAACAATACAATAACAATACAATAACATTACAATAAAAATACAATTAACATACAATTACGAATACACAACTTATTTTTAATCACATTTGCTAATCCCATTTGAAAGGCAGATGATATTATCCCTTAAAAAATAAGTATAGCTTTAAAGTGCCACTCAAAGATGGCGGGTGTTTAATAAGCAAACAGTTCGGCCGAGATTGAATGGAGGTATTAGACGGTATGTATTGAAATGTTTTTTTCAAGACACATCCAAAAAACAACAATTATCACGCTAATGTATATTGTCTGTCTGCCAGGGATACATGGCCTTCATAGTTTTTTGTATTGAATAGACCCAATTAGAGGAATCACATTGGCAAGCAGTAAACAAAAACAAAATGGCGGCGAACGAAAATGAGTTCATCCGGGCACATTTATGTTGTTTTACAAAAATGCAACGTAATGTGGCATTAAAATGCAAAGTGCGTACGTACCCTATTAAATTGCGTTTTAGCGGAGACAATAGATTAAAATACTGACACCGCCATTTTGTTTTGTATTTAACCATTATGTACTACGGAAATTAATTCAAATGGACGGAGATAATGAATTCCATGTGTTATCTGTGATTGATGTTCTAACTTGATCGTCAAATCCACTTAATGCAAATTTGCCTTAAAATAATGATGATAATACTACTACTAGTAATAACAATTTATCCGACATTTCACCATGAAATGTGTACATGTATAAATAAACCAAATTCTATTAAAATATGACGTATTGATTATTAAAAAAAAAGAAAGAAAAAACACCTGCGATAGTTACTATAAAGCCAATAAAAATATATTGTATACAATATAGTCACAATGAACACGCGCGCGAAAAATATGACGTATTGATTATAAAAAAAGAAAGAAAAAAACACCTGCGATTGTTACTATAAAGCCAATAAAAATATATATTGTATACAATATAGTCACAATGAACACGCGCGAAAAATATGACGTATTGAGTATTAAAAAGAAAAAAAAAGAAAAAAACATCTGCGATTGTTAATATAAAGCCAATAAAAAATATATTGTATACAATATAGTCACAATGAACATGCGCGAAAAATATGACGTATTGAGTATTAAAAAGAAAAACAAAGAAAAAAAAACACCTGCGATTGTTAATATAAAGTCAATAAAAATATATTGTATACAATGAACACGCGCGAAGTTAAAATAAGTGATGGGCTATGTCATTTATAGAGTTACCGAATTCAATCGATTCTTTTCATATCATATTATTACCTCCCCTGGTCGCGCCATTTTGAGGGTCATTTTCAATACATATCATATGATTAAGATAAGAAAAAAAATCTGATATAATACTGTCATCTTTCTTATAAACTAATGAACATCTTATACATATTCAATTTGGTGCTATATTTAATATTTTCCTCTATATGTATTAAAGAGTTTGACA